GGGGAATACCATTCCTAAACCATAACAGTACTGCCATCTTTTTACAAAGGTTTTGTACCTTCTTAGTGATTTCTCATGGGCAGCTCCTCTCAGCACTGCCTCCTTCTTCTCAGCAGAGCCAACAAACTCCATCTAACTTTTTGACCAGTTAATCTTTTACAACACCTATCCTAAATGGATCCAGCTGTGGCCTGTTAAGGGAAGGCCTGTTCCTAATTCTTGATAATTAGCACAGCTGTAACTCCTTAGGGGTGAGATTACCTTCATCACTATCTCTATTTTCCAACATTCCATCCATCTACAATTCTCCCTTTTCTTTTAATTACAAAGTTGCAGTTTCTGTAGATATATTCAAGTAAATTGACATTATAACATATATGCATATATTACTTAGGACTAACAGTAATATGAATGTTCAGGCAACATATCACAGTAAGAACATATGTTTCTAAGTTCTGATTTAGTTTTGTTTTTTACAATCTAGAACATCAACTTAAGGCTCACAACCAAAAACCCTTGTACTGAGACTTCTAGATCACAGTGAAAGTATATGTATCTAAATTCTAATTCAGTTTTGCTTTTCCACAGTCTAGACTTGATTAATTCTCTGAATTCCCAGAGTACTTATCATCAAAATGTTTAGATCCATGCCTAATTGTGAAGATTAATTCACAAGAATGAGTTAAACTAATGTTGTGTTTACCATCTTTTGCAGGGCTTTTTGCAGAAGATAGTAAACCTAGTACAATCATTTTTTGTGTAATTTCTATTTAACTTTGGAATACATTTGTGCTGACTTTACTTCATTACCCAAACTTACATTACATATCATCAGAAACCCTTACACTTTTACTTTGAAATATTTACCTAAACCTACATTACATATCATTAATCAAACTTACATTACATATAATCAGAAACCTTTATAATTATATCTCTAGAATATTGACAATATCCACAGCTGTACAACTTTATAAGGCAACTCACAAGAATAAGTTAAAGGCTATATATTAAGATAATCAACAGCCACATAACTTCATCAACAGCCATAGAACCTTGAACAACACTGATCCAGCATCTGCCAAGTGTGCTTATGGAATATAAACTTATGCTTATGGAAGATAAACTTTTACACTTATGCCTAATCAAAGATTCATACTTGTAATTCACAAACAAAATGCACATGTTTCATCAGCAAACAAATACACCACACTAAATAATAGAGCTACTGTTTCCCCAGCCCCCACTGCTGCTTTAATAATTCTCTTCTTCCTTCTACAGTTTTTGTTGTATTAGTTGATCACTGAAAGCCTCTCTTGTCCTGCTCTGTTTTCCATTATTTTAAAGTCTTATGAAGTGATTTCCAGGTGGCAGCCAAATCTGCAGGTGCCTTGCCCCCTTTTTGACACTGTATCTCACAGTCTTAACTTCTTTCCATGTATATAAAACAATCTGTTCTGCACTCCATGTGTTATTTCTCATTGTGTCCCCAGTGGCTCACCTGTACCTCAGGTGTCGAAATCTGTCAGGTCCAGAACAAGCAGCTTCCCCTGCTGCTCTCATTGCTACACTGGGCTCCATCTCTGGCTGCACCTCACCCTGCAGCCAGCCCACTCCCAATCACATCAGATTACTGTGGAGGTGGCCACTATGCAATTTTAGAGGGCTCCTCTTACATGTTTTCTATGCAGCTCTGACTCTGCCTCTCACAGCTGCATGTTGCTTTTGTTCCAGTGCTCATGTAGCAGTGACTTGGCAAACCTCACCAACCTACGCTTTTACAATACCCCTCCTTATTGGATCTAGCTGTGGCCTGTTAAGGGAAGGCCTATTCCTAATGCTTGATAATTAGCACAGCTGTAACTCCTTAGAGATGAGATTACCTTCATTACTATCTCTATTTTCCTACATTCTACCCATCCACATAACAGTGTCCTAGGTATCAGATTATTATTTTTTTTATTTTCCCTCTGCATTCAGTTCTCTATATTGTCATTTTGTTCTTTCACTGAAAAAGGGAGAAACAATTTTTAAATATACTATTATAAATTGGCATACTCTGAAAGTTTGAGACAGTTTCAGATTAATGACATTTTGTTAGTTTTTGCAGGACTTTTGGTGCTTAAGGAAATGGAATATATCACAACAGAAATCAGTCTGAGATAAATTCAGTGTCTCTCAAATGAAATTTTAGAATGGAAAAAGAGCATGTAGCTTTTCAGTAATGCATCATTTTAAAAGAGATAATCTTCCTTTATCTCGTGCTATTATTTTAGATAATTCTGAGCAAACCAGTGTCTTTTTCAGCATTTCAATACTTCAATTTAGATTTTTTTTTATTATGACTGAGCAAAATCTTCAGTGGTATTAGACAAAAGTAATGATCTGTAAGATGCTCCACCTCCAGTTCCATGCATTTAAAATGCATGTTTGTTTGTTTTTTAAAAAGTAAATATAATTTATTGTCTTAGATTTAGGGAATTTGTTTGTATCATGTGAATAGCATGTGGTCATACAGAACAGATGAAGCTGTTGAAATGCTGCACTGATATCTGCAAATTCGTATAGGAATTTTCCAGCACATTACAGTGGCTTGCATTAATTCTTGATTATGGCATCAAGAGTTAGTGAAGGCAGAATTGAAAGTTATGCTTAGACTTCATTGAAAGTTTATTATGCATATTGAGCACTAAACTATGTTTTTAGTCTCTGGATATAGAGGTAAAATATTACTGAATGTAAGACAGAACAGATTTTCATTAAAATGACAATTCTCTGTAGGTAAGTTCTTTAGGGCAAAAATTAAGTTAATTTTAACTTAAATTAATTAAAATTTTAAATTATTTAATTTTAAGCTAATCTAGGTTAAATCCAAGGCTGGTACTTTGAATTAGAAAGTAGAAAGAAGAATGAATTCCTTCTTTTATTCAGCATTTTTATAAATGAGTTTATGTAAAAGACAGTACATTTTGAGTAAATCCAACAACTGTGCAAAGCCAAAATGTTAAATTATGGATGAATGTACATAAACTTAAAGATGCTCTTTTCAAGAATTTTTGCTCACATAATGCAATTACATGGAATTTTCACAGTTACTTTCATATCAATTCTACATTTTGGATCAGGTTAATGTGGGAAATAGATTTGTAGAGACCCATGAGGGGTATTTTTAGATTATTAGCTTTAAAGCATCTACATCATAGTGTGGCAAAAAGCTGATAGGCCAAGAAACACTTAGTGTATTGTAATTAAGAAATAGTAGGCTTCTGATTGTGATGGCATGAATCATAACATCTGTATTGTCTCAACCTTCTCAGCAGACTGAAAATGGAATAAAAGTTTTTTAAACGCCTCTCAGTTGCCCCTCTCTAGATTAAAAAAAAAATCCAACAGGCTAGTTCTAATATCTCTCATTAGGGCTCTCTTAATTCTGTTTCTGTCTATTTTTGACTTCTAGGCAAACTTGCCTTTTTCATCCTTTATGATGGTGTTTTTTCTTTACAGAGTTGCTTGGCATGCTGGAGATTGAGCAATTGTTTATTGACTGAAGCAGTCAAGCTGTTACTCATACCTTACCTTTTGGTAATTAAAGTAGTCAGGTCATGCTGATAGTTGTGTTGGACTAAAAGGAAGTAGATCCCTTTAACGGGAGTGTGTACATAATTTACACAATTAGTGCATGTAAAGCACTGTCTAAAAAAAGAAGCAAATACTATTTTGCCTGGTATTGCCAATATACTGTAGGTGATTCTCTTAAAAAACCAACCAACCTCCTCGCTTTCAGATGAAATAGAGATTACATGCATAGAGAATCACCCAGCCCTTATAATGCTTTAGGAATATGTGTGACAAGAAAACATTTCTGGTATATGGGCTGAAATATTTCAGATGTTGTCCTGTGTGCCAGGTATATGGTGAGTGCTGATTAACTTCTGGAATTTAGGATATCATGAGGTTACTATAATGAAGGCTAGAAGGTAACATCTTATGTTAGATTTTTCGAATTCGGTAGTGAGAAGAATTTCATAACTATGTTTTAACCCCAACTTTCAGAAGCATCCTTCATAAGCTCTTACATCTTTGTTTCATTATTTCATTTGAATAACTCTATGCTATTCAATTGTTTGGCATTTTCTATCTAGGATGCTTTTCTTATTCTGACTTTAATAAAAATGATATTTGTTTTCTTTTTAATGCATTTCAGTAATATCTGCTTTATCATAAAATCCTGATATAATCAGGATAGTATAACAAAATTTTCAGTTCTGTGACTAAGGTTGCCTATTATTCCTTATATTCCTATAAGAATGGTGAGTGCCTTTGTATGACAGTAGAGTCAGAGAATTAGTAGGTAAAATATCCATAGGTTTTGTCTAAGGGAAGCTGGTGTTAGAGAATGGGTATGGTGTTTACTTTTAGCTACTGAAAGTCATACTAGATGTTTTGGTAGAGTTCTTGTTCTAGCCAAGGTGTGAAAACTTCAACTTTCAATCAACTTCCTGCAGTAATTTAAAATAAGATCCTATAATTGGAGAAGGTTTTTTACAAGTCCTAAAATAGATATAATCAGCTTGCAGGATTGCTTTGAAAAAGTCCTCATATTCTTCAATTATTTTGAAAAGGGTGTGCTGAAATTCATTGATTTGGTAGGGAAGAAGTCTGTATACAGGTCAGAATTTCAGTATTGTACTGCCAGATATTGTGATTCTGGCTCATAACCTACTGATGGGTGACTGATAATGATGAAAATAGTGATGACTTTTTTACAATAATTTTATTTTTTACATATAAAAAAATTATTTTTTACATATCTAGAAGTATCCTGCCTTGGGCCTGTGTAATCTTAAAGGATTGAATAATACATACCCTGCTTGTTCAAACATCAGAGGTGTCTACAATAAATTGTGTTGTGGCTCTTTAATTAGCAAGTAATATATACACATTTGTTCAGAATTGTAAGAAAATACTGTTTGACGTAAAACGTTGCTCTGTCTTTCTAGATAAAGTGTTATCACAAAAAATACAGGTCAGCTACTCGTGATGTGATTTTTCGCCTTCAGTTTCACACCGGAGCTATACGAGGACATGGCTTGGTGTTTGGCAAAGAAGATTTGGATAATGCCAACAAAGGTACTTGTCTTCTGTGGTTGGTTGGATGTGTATATGTGCAGGCGTGCAAGCATATGCATGTGATGACCTTCTTCAGCACCCGTTTTCAAAATCTGTTTCAGAATCCATTCAAAATCTTCAGAATCTGTTTTCAAAAGGATTCTTCCCCACCCCCCCACCCCCCTTCTTATTTTTGGGGAAAGGGAGACTGCTTTGAGTTAGTTAAATTGTAGTGTGTGATACCAGTAAAACCCTAATGACAGGAAAAGCTCTTCAAGCAAGTTAACTTGTCAGAATAATTCAGATACTCCTACACAGTCCTTATCACCTTCTCCCTCATTTAAATGGTGACTTTCTTTGTCACCATTGAAGGAAGTAAGATGAGCTAAATAATTATCTATTCTGGCTGATGAAAACAGTCATAAAGTCTGATAATGCATTTGTGACATAGTCTGAGTCTTTTAATATGCTTCAGAATATCAAAGAATGGACACAAAGTTTTCAGACACACTTGAAAATGCGTCACACTAGTCCTCATATTTTCCAAATCATATTGTTAGTTTTATTGTGTTTATATGCAGGATTGGAAGTTCCTCAGTCTATGTTACTAGCAAACTAAAATCAAGCATATTTTTCTGCAGCATGCAGCATAAGGATACCAAGAGTTTTGTGGTTGAGTATTGTGGTTTAGTCAGTATGCGGAACAATTTTAATTTTCCTGCGTGTGTTTTCTTTATAAGTCATGTGTGTCTACTGTCTAGAGAGGGGGTTAGGAACTGTACATCTCTTCTGCTTTTGACTGTTCTAGAAAGCAAGCAAAATTCCTGCTGGCATTTGTGTCATCTTTTCTGGAGAATGTGTGGCTGTGGCACAAAGTATACGGCTTTTAAAAGCAGATCACTAAGCTGCAAGTGGGAAGGGAAGAGTGATGAGGGTACATGTATAGACAGCTGTAGAGAATCCTGATTTCTGAGTGCTCTGAAACTGCTCTCCTGGGAAACATCTTGCTGAATTCCTGTCCTTTGTTCTTAGATGACCGTTTCCCTGACTACAGCAAGGTGGAATTAGTGTTTTCAGGAACTCCAGAGAAAATTCAAGGTGAGCATAGAGAACCAAAAATATGCTTAATTTGAAATAAATCATATTGAAATACACATTTTTTAAAAAATAAAATATTTTTTCCTCTTTTCTTCCACTTATCTTCTAAAAATATAAAATTTTACTTTTTCATTAAATTATATTAGTTACTGGTTTAAATTTGGAAAAGTTAATAAAGACTCTGCATTTATATCAGCATAGAAGTCATCAGATTTTGTCTTAAAGCTCTACCAGAACACTTGCTACAACTAGTAGAAAACATTAATGTATCAGTTTAAACATATATAGTAGGTGGTTTGGCTCAGCATAAGTGACAGCAGTGGCCTATCCCGTAACCTTTTTAGGATGTTGTCATAATTGATTATGTTTGTAGTATTAAAGTTTGGACTGTCTTCAGTTTAGCATAAAAAGAGATACAGCTGTATTCTTTTTGGAAATGCTTCTGCTTCAAAGTTGGCTTTTAAGATATTCTGCACACTTCCAAAATTCTGTTTTAATATGTTTAAGATTATGTGATAATTCTTACTTGAAATAAGAATTTAAGATTATGCAGATCATTGCAGCTTAATTATGTTAATGAATATGTTCTTAATAATTTTATGGTGTCACAAAAAGTGTGGATTCTGCCTAAGACTGATTGAAAACCAAATACTCTTAACTGTCTGTCCCATACATATTCCCATTCAGTGTCCTCACTGTCCTGTGAATTGCATCTTTTCCTCCTTTTCTTTTCCACGAGTTTGATAATCTAGAAAATTATGGCCATAGCCACTAAGAAGTTGGATTCTGTCCAACTGAGCACAAAAATCTCACTTAGCCTGTTTGAAAGCCATAAAAGAAAACCAGTTTTATAAATTAATTTGTCTAGCTTGTTCTAAGCATTTCTGGACAGTAAATGTTTGAAGACAGGCCAGTTAACATGTCTAAAAAAGGACCAAATTTTTTTTCAAGTTTCCCTTCCTTAGATGACACATGAGAGGTGTGGATTTTTTAGTAGGCTTCAAGCTGTTGAAAAGTAAGGTTCTAAGTAAGTGGATATTTGTATTCAGTTGCTGTCTGAGGAATTAACTAGCTAGGAAGAGCAGCTCACCTTTGTTACTAAACAAGTTATATTTTTTTAAGAAGAAGTCTATTTAGCGATCTGGGAAGACATTGAAAAATTCTTTAACTTTAGCACAATGGTATATGATCCTTCTATTATGGTTAATGCTTAGTTTTGCACCATACAGTGCTTAATACAAATACCACAGATAAATATGACCTTGTGTTAATTCTCTACATCTGTGACTGACAAGTCTTGTGCCAGCTAATGCTTCCTTATTTACTTACATTAATGATTAATATGTACTAGTAAAAATCTTAGTTTTGAGAATAAGGATCATCTATCAGAACAAAGAATGATAAGAGAAGGACATTATGACATCACCACATGTTTGAAATACTCTCAAAAAAAAATTTATCAGAAAATCTGGAACCACATCCAAATAAGTCCACAGAAATAATTAGCATATATGCATGTGTTCAGGAAATGTGATGAGTATGTATTTGTTTCAGGAATATAACCTGGTCTGTTAGGTTACTGGGAGTACCTGCTTTGAGGAGAAATCCCCATGCAGCCAACGTTACTGGTAATGTTGGCTTTCTAACCTATGAATGGTTATAGAGTTTGGTTGGAGAGTTTATTTCCCAGTTTTTGATGACACCTTGAAATACTTACTTACAATTTCTGCAAAATGAGTTTTCCACATCTGAAAATATTATAGACTTATAGAATAACTACAGGATATCTCTAGTCCATCCCCCTGCTGAAACAAGGCTCATTTGTGAAATCAGACCAGTTTCCCTAGAGCTTTGTCCAGTGAAATAATGAAAAACTTCAAGGACTGAGACATCACTGCCTCAGTGGGTGGGCTGTTTAAATGTCCTCACAGTGGAATTATTTTTTTCTTATATTGACTCTAAATTTATCTAAATTCAAATTATTCAAATAATTTTCAAATATTCTTTTCCTTCTGCCTTGCTCCAAACTGGCTGTCTCCTCTACAGCCTTCGGGAGGCTGCTGTCAGCTCCTTGTCAAGACCATCTCATCTCCAGACTGAAGCCCTGACCCCTTAGGCTTTCCTCACAGGGAAAGTCTTTCAGTCCTGAGCATCCTTGTCATGCTCTCCTGAATTTGCTTCAGTTTATTAATATAATTTTTGTATTCTGTAGCTTGAAGCTGGACACAGTGTTCTAACATAACTGACTGTGATATTTTTAAGAAGGAATGCAGTTGCCAAGAATATAAGATCCCTGAATATTTAATAATAAAGTTTATAAATCTGCCTTGTGGCAAATGTCATCACAGAAATGCTCTATAGATGGCTTTTTCCAGGCTGTACATAAAGGTACAGGACCATAGCATTCTTGTCCTAATTGTAACTATTTTTGTTTTAAATGTCACAGTATGTGCATAATACTGTTGCTTTAGAAAAATTTACAGTAGGACTTGCTTTGTAAACACAAAGCAAGTGTGTTTACAAAGCCAAAGGTTTGCTAACTGAGGATTTCTTTGTTCCCTAATCTAGACAGAAAAGAAAAGACTGTCTGTTTGATTTGTATCAGTATCAAAGCCAGGTTCAAGGTCATGAATTCTTGATGCCTGTGCTTTGCTTTTGAATCACTGGATTATGCCTAAATTCCTCACTGTATCCATGTAAAACCTGAACATTATTTAATGCCTTGTTAAGGGCACAAAAACATGAGTTACTGCTGAAAATTCCAGGTACATTCAGCAGAGCATACTTAAATGCAGCAAAACACGTTGAAAGCCAGCTGTCTAGTCTCAGATTCTGCAGAGCTACCACCTTGGGGGAACTGGAAGGGACATGAAGTCACAGTTTTCAGCTCTTCCTGTTCATCCTTAGTGATAAATTGCTCTGGTATCAGAATGATAATCTATATGAATCAGAATGAAATCTGTAACAGAGTCTAATTTTATCGTTCCTTTAGAACCATATCTTTATAGATACTCATGGACTCATTCTCAGAAGCTCTTTATCATGTCTGACCCTCTAGGGCTGGATGGACCGTCTTTGTTAGTTGTGTTTAGGGACTGATCCAAGTTATCAGCCTACATCATAATCAAAAAGCTCAAGATAAAATTCTCTGAATGATAAATTAACCTTTTTTCTTTTTTTTAAACTGTTTTATTAACCTTTCTTCCCCTTTTGCTCCTTCTTACATTTCAGAATAGGGTGTTGCCATTCAGAAAGCAAATGTTTGTCAGAAGGCTATATACATACATCTGTGTGTGTATATAATTACATATGTGACTGATAATTTTTGGTTTGAAACACGTCTCATTTTAGGATGTGAACACCTTCAGAATGATCATGGAGTAATAGTTGATTACAATACATCAGACCCACTAATACACTGGGATTCCTATGAAAATATGAGCCCTGATGGGGAAGGTGAGTAATTTTGTCACATTAGACCAAGGCAAAACCTTTTGCAACAGTTCCAGAGTGTTCAACAGAAGAAAGGAGACCTCATTTGCTTGAAGCTAATGCCATTTTACTGATGTGTAAAGTAGTTTTCTACCCTTCCCTATTTCACATCAGTGGTTCTAATTTAGGAAAGAAAGCTGTAGTAGTTAAGTGAGATCCCTGTCAATACACAGAATGAACTGAGACACAACTGATTTATAGAAATTACTTGTAAATTTGCCCAGAGACTTCTCTTTGTTCAAAAGCTTCTAGTTGGAATTCTAATATTGAATTTTAAGAACAAAATTATATGGTGACTTTGTAGCTTTTGGTTACTATGTTATCTGGAGTGTTTCAGAACATGCACCAGGCTGTTAATAAACAAACAGTAAAGGACGTGCCTATTTTCATATCTTCCTTTGTAAATGCACTTGTTTACAGATTTTTTTTCTGTATCAGATGACATGTACAAAACATGAAAACGTCCAGTACTGCCTTCAGATTCTGACTGCAGTGTGAATGCTCTCCTGAGGTTTTGCTTGAGTGAATGCTGTGCTTTTAATGGATGTAGTTTTCATGTAAGGACTCAGAATGTTACACTTGTGGCTGCACACATCAGTGCACATGCAGTCCTGACTTCTTACTGACTACTTCCTGACTTATTTTTTTTAACACCTTGCCTGTTAGCAAATGAGAGACACATGAAGCTAGGATACTTAAGTAGCTGCTCTCTAGGTTCAGTTTCAATTGATTTTTTTAGTTTGGATTCAGCATTGACCATCTAATGACCACATCAGTGAGGGCAGAAGTTTACTGGGAGCTTGACCTTCTTCCTGTGCCTCACTCTTGTAATAAGAGTATTTCCTAATGCACAGCAGACATCAATCTGCAGAAAACTGGAGGAATAGAGAGAGTGGAAAGAGAACAGTCATTGCACATGGCAGGTAGACTACTCCACGGGGAGTCATCAGAGTTGGATGAGACTGCGCAGTGTTTTTTAGAAATAACGTCAGAGAGACTGAATCTTAACTGGAGGTGATGTTATAATTCCTACCCATGATGTTTCAATATCATTTATAATTCCTTTCCCTTCCTCCCTCTGCCATTCTTTCCCCCTTCTTTGCATATACCTAGCCCTCAACAAGCAATGCATTGATGTCAAATATTTTTTAATTGCTGAGATTGATTGGTTAGATGGATTTGACCTTCCCATCCTCATGCATTGCATTGTAGGTAACTACAACAGTACAGCAAGTTGAAAGCAGAGATAAACATGCAGGTGGCATTCCGTTGGAAGATACAGAACTGTAGGCTGCCCATATCTTCGATAAGAGTTGGTCAGACCCCATTTACAAGTATAACTAGCTTGCTTGCCTGCTGTTCAGAAGTCATATATGCTATTTAATATATTTTTATATCTAATTTGTGTGCAGGGTACTTTTTAAATTACCTGAGATAGAACAGAAATATGATATGATAGCTTAGATAGTAAGAATTTCATTGTACATCTGCAAAAAAAAAACGCCTTAAGTTTAAGATAGAAAATATACCACAAGATGAGAGTATATAGTTATTCTTTTCTCAAGTAAATATTTATGAGGCAGACTGTTACAGACTGTTACCTTATTATATTCAATAGGAGAATTGCAGGCAGAGCAATGTTTCTGCATAGGCTGGGCAAAAGATCACAAGGAACACATACACAGGCAATAGCTGTATTTTTCTCTTAAGGATGGGGTCTTAACACAAGTTTGAGCTTAGTCTGCTGCTTAAGGTAAATATAGTGCAGTTAGATCATCTTCTGTGTAAGAGTTATAAACAGCAGGACAAGCTTCTCTTTAGGGTTTGTGCAGATGTTTAGTATCATGCTTGTGCATTAAAAATGTGTATTGCATCCCAGTTTTCACTAAGGTGAGAGACGACTAAGATGAGATGCTGATTTCACATCCAGAATGGGATCAAAGTCAAAAACCTTAGAGTATGAGGCCTTTAGCTGTAATCCTGAAGTCTGAGAGAGAATCTCTTCTGTACTTTAGAAAATATAAAGGTGCAATACATCGTACATTTTGAATGTGCATAACTGCATAAGTGGTGATATGTTTAAGGTGCAGGGAAGTGTCATATAGAGCACCTTTTTCAGTTCTACTGTACATTAAGTTAAACCCATAGCCTTACGTAGGAGCTCGTCTTCATGGTTTTACTTGTACCTGTTTTCCCACAGGAATTTCAGTAGGAATAGTATGAGATGTTAGTGTGACAGATGATTCTTATATAACAGTTATACACCTTTTTGTTAATTTCAAAAAATGTGGGCCCATGAAATTTCTTACCAAGGTGGTCAGGAAGGCTACAGCATAGCCTTCTGAATTGTTTTGTAGGTATATGTGTGTGGAATGTATATTTCCAAGTTGCTGTGTTCCAATAGAAATGAGAAGTGAATAAGAGAGTAGTATCTCTTTTGAAATGGTACAACTATTTGGCTTTATTACCAAAATAGCAAAAGATGGGAAGACATGATAAAAGAAAAATATACCCAAAGGCTCTTGATTTACTGGCATGATACAGTATTATGGACATAAGCAACTGCCTTTTAAATGATCTTGAATCCTTTGCTAATAAGATTGTGTACATAGGTGTTGAATAACCAGGCTATGTTCAGTTTATTATCTGAATTTAGTTCCTTGTCCTTCATTCTTAATATTCTGACAATTGGAAAGCGATAAATTATTTGCATTTCTTCTTATAAATACTTTCTTTTCAGATCCCTTGGGAAGTGATCCTCCATAATAGATGAAAAATTATATTTAGGTCCTAATTTTCAATTTATATCAGATTTCCTCCTCCTTGAGCAGTACATTAGCACAGAGACTTCTGTTACACTGATTTAAAAGTATGCAATTAAATGTAGTATTTGGAACCAGAAGAATCGGGTCTTCCCACTGCCATGTAGAAGTCTGACATAGCTGCCATTGCTTTTCCTGTGGTTTTGAAGTCAGGAAGAACTTTTATGATAGACAGGAACAGAAATTACTTTTGATCTTTCTGAGCACTCTTATTTTTTCCTTTAAAGTGTCACTTACCATATAATAAATGTGTATGGATTTAAAAAAGGTTGTTCATTTGCTGCAAAATAGCAAGATATCTGTAGCCACACGTGTAGTATCTTCCAAAATCTCTCTCAGATATGAAATGACAAATAGTATTGAAAAAAGTTCCCCCCACCCCAAACCAGAGGGATTGAGGTAAATGGTAAAGGTTTGATTTGTCTTTTGTTGAGGAGTTTATTTTTAGTTCTCAGTGATAATTGCCTATTACTATTGGACTATTACTTGGAATAGTGCATGAGAGATAATGTTCTTAAACACTTCCCTCCTGCTAAAATATGCAAGTCTCTTTTGAATAGGAACCATCCATTTATATGAAACCTGACAGTGGATCCTGGTAAAAGCTTGGGTTCTGAAGTGTTCTGAAAATTAAATCAGATTTTAAGAAGACATTAAGATAAAAAAAATATTAAAATAATATATATTGCTAAAGAACATGAACTCATTTTAATAGAAAAGGTGAATTATTGGAAGAACAGATGAATGCTATTCTCCCTTTTGCACTGTCTGACTGCTTCATCTCTAGTCTATTCTAAGTATCCTGATAGCACGCTAAAATTACTCTTGAAAGAAAATGCCATTTGTGTGTGTGGCATTCAGTTGCCTGAGATACAGGATTTTAATATTTTTTTTAATAAAAAAAACTGGTAAACACAAAGTTCATTGTTGGCCAAAATAGTATTTGTTTTGGTTCAACTGAATTCAGTGGCTTGGCAACAGAAATGCACATGGTTCTTGTTCAGTGTTCCATTTTAAGACGTTTCACTTATTTTAACTGCTAAATCCCTCTGCACTCTCTTGTCTTCCAACTCTACAGTCTGTGGAAAAAGAAGCACATGGGCATGTTAGAATTTCTTAAAATTACAAATTAAGGACCTTGGTTTAGTCTTTAGAAATTTAAATATCTGCTTTATTTCTCAACAAAACCTTGCTGCTTTTTTTTTTCCCCAGCAAACTACCTTTGCTTGCTCAGTGGTGCTTCGACAATTAGAACAGAAACAGCTTTGGCATAAAAATTATGTTTTTAATCCAAATTGGGTAGGGCTCAGTGAATCCAAATCGCTATGTGTCAGGAATGTTGCTTTCCAAATTTTCTAGTCTTTTGTAACTGTAATCAACAACAATCAGTCAAAATTTGCCAAGTATTTATAAACTGGTTTGCTCCTGCTTTTTTTCTTCTCATAAAGGAAAGTATCTGAAAAGTGTCTCCATGTATGCAATAAATGTTTCCATGAAGGCAATAAATAACCAACATTCTGGTATGCACCCATGTCATGTGATGAGACAGGATGTTTGACTTCTACTGAGATTTTTTTTGTGCTCTTCAACACAAAGTAAATAGCTATTCAGTAGGGAGGTGCCCTCTTATGTTTAAACACTTGTTTTTCCCAGAGGGCCCCTTCAATATTGCAAAACTCAAAAGTTGAGGCAAAACTGTTTGGTTTTGGCACATTAACAGGAATGCAGAGACTACCAAAGAAAATGGCAGCTTTGATGCCATTTCTGGTGAGTGAAGCTGAAGAACAAATTCCTAGTGAATAAACGTGTCATGGTTTGAGGCTGGTACAATGCCAGTGCCCCCATGAAAATACACTTTCCCTAGTGGCTCCTGTGAGATGTGATCAGGAACAGAGCAAAGCAGGCTCCAACTTAAGAATAAGGGAAACAAACTTTATTAACTACAACATCTAAAAGGAACAGACACAAAACTAAGAATGAAAGCCCTCCAAATACGTCTCCTCCTCCCCTTTTTCTCCACAGCATGAAATAACACCATAGATTTCCAGACCGTTACCATCTCTCAGATAATCCATCATCACCCCTCAAATAATCAACTCTCAAGTCCATCAGGGAGAGAAAGGAGTCTCCCCTTGCACCATA